CAGGGCGACCAAGGCAGATTCAGTACAGTGCCCAGGTCTGAAGCCGGACTGAAATGGGTCTAGATAATCAGTTTCATCCAAGAGTGCTTGGAGTTGTCCCGCCGCCCCCCGCTCTAACACCTTGCCCAGAAATGGGATGTTGGCCACTGGTCTATAATTAGTGGCCATCTCTGGATCCAGTGATGCTTTCTTCAGGACCGGTCAGACTACCGCCTCCTTTAAAGGGGCAGGCACCCGACCCTCCCTCAGTGGAGCGTTAACCACTTCCAAGATCCAGATCCCAATCCCGTGCTTGGAATTATTTATTAACCAAGACGGGCAAGGGTCCAATAGGCAAGCAGTGGGACGTACTCGTCCAAGCACCTTGTCCACATCATCAGGCCGCAATAACTGAAATTCCTCCAATAATTCTGGACCAGACGGCAGCATTGGCACCTCCCCAGGAACCTCTGATTCACTAGTGGTGTCCAACTCATGACGAATCTGAGTGATTTTCTCCCTGAAATGCATGGCAAAGTCGTCACAGTGGGCCTGTGAGGGTAGAACCCGATCTTCGTTAGGCCCTGGATGAACCGGGCCTTGCACCACTCAAAAAAGCTCCACCGGATGGCATTGTGAGGAGGCAATGGGAGGGGGAAAAAACCTCTTTTTCGCCGCCCTCACTGCCACAGCATAGGCCCAATAGTGGGCTCTCAAGTGTGTTCGGTCAGATTCATCCCGTGATCTCCTCCACCTACGCTCTAGCCATCTTCCAACCTGCTTCATCGCCTGCAATTCAGGAGTATACCAAGGGGAAGAGTGGACTCTGCCCGGTGGGAGAGGACGCTTAGGAGCGATCATGTCCACAGCCCTGGTCATCTCCCCGTTCCACTGTTCGACCAGAGCCTCGACAGGAGCACCTGTCTTGTCAGCCGGAAACTCCCCCAGGGCCTTCAGGAATCCTTCCGGATCCATCCAGCTCCGGGGGCGGACCCACACAATCGGGTCCACACCCTTGCAGAGGGAGAGGTCGCTCTCAAGCACAAACCTCACCAGGAAGTGATCTGACCATGACAGGGGAGTCAAACATAAATTCCTCACCCTCAGACCACCCTCTTCCTGCCCCGTCGAGAAAACCAGATCCAGAGTGTGTCCACGTTCATGGGTCAGGCCAGAGACATGTTGAGACAGCCCCATGGCCGTCATGGAGGCCATGAAGTCCTGAGCCGCCCTGGTCAGACCAGTCTCGGCATGGAGATTGAGGTCCCCCAGGACCAGCATCCTGGGGGTCCTCAACACCAGGTCCGAGACAGTCTCCGTCAGCTTAGGCAGGGAGACTGTTGGGCAGAAGGGTGCATGGTACACCAATAGAACCCCCAATCTGTCTCGGTTGCCCAACACCAAGTAGAGGCACTCCAGCCCTGGTCTCGAAGGGACCGGAAGTCCTGTGAGAAAGATGGAGGCTCGGTAGACCAGAGCGACCCCCCCTCCCCTCCCCTCCCCTCTGGGCGTGAACACTGCTGAACCAGATACCCGGGTGGGCACAGTTGAGTGAGGGCGACATCCCCTCCCTCTCCCGCCCAGGTCTCTGTTATGCAAGCCAGGTCGGCCCCCTCATCCACAATCAAGTCATGGATGAGGGAAGATTTATTATTGAAAAGACAAGCGTCGACATGGCCAGGGACGTCTCCATAAAAACAGGTTAAAATAGAATAAAATTATAAAAGCAATTAAAAACTCCCCCTTCCCTAATGTTCTCTATAGCAGGTGGGCCAATTAAAACAAAAGCCCCTGGCCAGCCCAGCCCCCCGAATGGTTACCAAACGGCAGTGACCGCCCTTTGGCCATCACCCTTCGGCCACCGGCCCCGTATGCCGCCGGCGCTTTAAGGCCGCCGGGCCCTCCAAGGCCCCGCCCTGTCCCGCGCGGCTCTCACCCATGCGGGTGGGCATGCCGGAGCCGGTCCTAGCCCTGGCTGGTGCCCCTGGGCCGATGTTACTGGCGTCCGTGGGGTGGCGCGGCAGCTGGCGGGCGCGTGCAGCTGGTGAGCGCGTGAAGGTCCTGCAGCGCAGGGGATTTACCCTATGACAGGAAGAATGCACATTTTTAATCAGTGGCTTATTGTATTTTTCTACAATTAAATTTGGTAAAAGTCCAGAAAGTAGAAAACTGGTCCTCAAATTCATGGAATCCATGTGACTCAAGGAAAATGGTCCACTGTGGAATCCCTGGATCAGATTCATAGAAATCCAATCTCATTTGAATCTATGACAGATTTTCCCAGTATCTCTATCTTCCACTTTTGTTTCCGTATATATATATATCAAATGGTTGAATCTATTCTTAACAGATAGAGCAAATATGAGTGTGCAGTAGGTCTGTCAGATGTCGGTGTGTGTTTTCAAATGGCAACCCGTCTTTTAATGAAGCCCATGGGGAAGTGATGGGGAATGTGCCTGTGATGTGCCTGTCCTTATTAAATAGTTTAGTAATCCATTTGATTCAGAATATTTTTTTTCTTGTTTTCCTCCTCTAAAAACTAGGTGCGTCTTATGGTCAGGTGCGTCTTACAGAGCAAAAACTATGGTATTCGCTCCATAAGACGCACAGACATTTCCCCTTACTTTTGAGGGGGGGGGGGAGTGCATCTTATAGAGCGAAAAATACGGTATTTGCCAGGAAGTGAGAGGACCAGATGCCATGATCTTAGTTTTCTTAATGTTGAGTTCCAAGCCAACTTTTGCACTCTCCTCCTTCACCTGCATCAAGAGGCTCTTTAGTTCCTCTTCACTTTCTGCCATGAGAGTGGTATCATCTGCATATCTGACATTGTTGATATTTCTCCCAGCAATCTTAATTCCAACTGGTGATTCATCTAGCTCCGCCTTTCTCATGATGTGCTCTGCGTATAAGTTAAATAGACAGGCCGACAGTGTACAGCCTTGCCGAACTCCTTTCTCAATTTTGAACCAATCAGTGGTTCTGTGTCCAGTTCTCACTGTTGCTTCTTGACCCACATACAAGTTTCTCAAGACACAATTAAGATGGTCTGGTACTCCCATCTCTTTAAGAACTTGCCACAATTTGTTGTGATCCACACAATCAAAGGCTTTAGCATAGTCAAGCAGAAGTAGATGTTTTTCTGGAACTCCCTAGCTTTCTCCATGATCCAGCGTATGTTGGCAATTTGATCTCTAGTTCCTCTCCCTCTTCGAAATCCTGCCTGTACTTCTGGTAGTTCTCGGTCCACATACTGCCGGAGCCTAGCTTGTAGGATTTTGAGCATCACTTTGCTAGCATGTGAAATGAGTGCAATGGTGTGGTAGTTTGAACATTCTTTGGCATTGCCCTTCTTTGGGATCGGAATGTAAACTGACCTTTGCCAATCCTGTGGCCACTGTTGAGTTTTCCAAATTTGCTGGCATATTGAGTGTAGCACTTTTACTGCATCGTCTTTTAGGATTTTGAATAGCTCAGCTGGTCACACTTTATTTTCCATAAAGCATAATTTGCTTGTGTGCATTTATTATTTTTTAATCATATAGTTTGAAATGCTCAGTTAATTCTACAACATCATGCTGTTTACATTCTGAATAGGAATGCACAAACATGTTCAGGGTGGGAACCCTGGGAAGGTGGTGACATGATGGTTATTTAATATATTTGCTTGCCATTTTGAGCAATGGCCAATTGAAACATGAATATACGTTTTAATATGTTAATGGATTATAAAGTATATGCACAATTCATATCCAAGATACATGCTTGAAGATCTGATGCCAGCTTTCAGTGTAATCTTAAATGGAAAATAAGGGAGAAATAACTGTCGTGCTTGGGACTACTATATACTGCTGGTCTATGCAGAGATGTCCATTCCAGCTACATCACTGACATGGCACATAAACAACTCTTTTACATGTAAAAATTCCAGCAGTGTTCTAGTGGTAATATGGCTATTTTGACAAAGAAGATTTGTTGTAAACCTTTTTGCATTTATTCCCTTGATTTGTTACACATCATAACCAGAGAGCAATTGTGTGTTTGTCAAGGTATACCAGTGGAACTCTACGCTTATTGTAGTTTTTACTCCTGACGTTTTGGCAGTGATAATTATTACGTGAGTGCATGCAGGATCATTAACATTTTATCAGTTATTTGATAAAGATGTTGAGCTAAAGAACAAAATATCAGTTTTTCAGTAGTTGTATAGATTTACTTTATACATTATTTTATTTATTTTGTTTTCTAGATATATAAAAAGAATACAGAGTTTGGATTTCTGTTATTAAAACAATCAAATCCCCATTGCATAGTACAAATTGGGGTTCACATTTCTTGTGGGAAGAAATATATTGAAATGTGCCTGTAATTCTAGAATGCTAACATTTATTTAATGCTGTTAAAGAGTAATGTTGGTTTTCATGCCTAATATGGAAATAGTTCCTAAACATACTTTGATACAGAGGAAAAATTGCTGTTCAGCTTAAGATTGAATATTCAGAACCTTTGGCAGTTGCTTTATTATTTATTGAAAGTTTAAAATTACACAAGAAAAACCACATGTATGTAAACCTTTATGGCCCATGCTACTTTAGGTGGAATTACAGCAAATTACTTTATTTTATTTCCCTATTTATATTGTAAAATGCCATCCCATGTTGTCCTACAGTTTATCTTCAGTATATTAAAACACCAGTCACATATGAGATAGTGTCTATATTCTCAATTTGATTATCATTTAGGTAGGTGCGCATGTGGTAACTGGTACTTTTAAAAATGAAGGAATGGCACACCTCTAAATAATTAAATGAACTGCTGTGAGAGGAGGTCTTGTAATCAGCTTTCATGCTGTGATTATAACTATGAGTGAAATAATTTCTTTTATGGATAATATTTTATATATAATTACAAAACAGTTTCTTGCTTTCTTTTTTAATTCTCCCCAGGAAATTGGAAGCAACAGCCCACCACAGAGGAACTGGAAGGGGATAGCAATCGCGCTGCTGGTGATTCTGGTTGTGTGTTCACTCATCACGATGTCTGTAATTCTTTTAACACCAGGTAGGGTTTGTTTATTTATTTAGATACTTGGCTCTTACCTAAACACGTATAATGTCTGGGGCTAGACTTATACATGTATAGAGGAATATTTTGTATTCCTTTCTATGACATATTCTCTTCATGTGTTTTAAACTCTTATGTAGTTTACATTCAGTACTGTTCAGGATGATGAAACTTATGTACAGGAAACTTGTGAGAAAGACATCCGTGTAGAGTAACATCCATGTTGTTTTCCATCACAGTAAGCATGTTCTAAGTCCATGAAGCAATTGCTTGGCTTTCCCTGAGTGTATGTAATCACACAAAGCAATTAACCAGTATCGTTGTTGCATCCTACAAAGAAGCAGCTCTCAAGAAATGGAAAGAAGGGAAACACACTGCCAAAATGTATCTTTATGTCACCAGCGGTTTGCTTGGAAGGTGTGTCAAGAGCACTGCAGGGCCATCAGGAGATGGTTCTGGCTGAAAGCACCATCCTGATCCTCTGTCTAGGTCTCCAGCAAATCCATTGCTGACAATCTGCTCCATTGGTGTCTCAGGAAAACATTACAGCAAAAACTCATGATAGCAGAGACACCTGTAGAAAATACTTCTTCACATGCTCTGAAGGTGGAGGGTGTCACTGTGGCATTTACTAGAAGCCTCCACTAGGTCTTCCAAGGTTTGGGAATGAGCAATGAGGGCCAGATTGCTGGGCTTTTAGTGATCAATACATAGCAACTACGTACGTAACTCAGATACCCATACGACAAACAAGGTATGGGGTGGAATGTATTTATAAGCCATTCTTACTTGAAATGGATTGTGGTTATACCTGTAAATAAATACTTTCCTATTGGCCATCATTAACTGCACCCCCTTAATTTTCTTAAAGAATTTGCAAATTGTAAATTCTGTGTAACTTTTTTTCAATTTGGAATTTAACTGTGACTTGATATCTATGCTTAGTGTGTATAAATGCATATATAAAAATGTATCAGTTAGTTAAGGAATGGGAAAATGAATAATTCAATATAAGTTGGAGCCAAGAAAGAAAAGTTATACCCAATTCTGAAACATGAAAATAAATATTGAGGAGGAAAGAACAGGCTTCAGGAACAGTCAAGAAATATAAAGTATGGTTATGAATTCTTAAAAACAAATAGAAAAGTTATGTAGCCAAAGCATTCAGAAAGTTTATACAGTATAAAGGAAGGCTGTTTCTTGCAATAGATAGGCTAAGCATTATGAATTTAACAAGGTATTTTTTCAAGATTCTGAATAAAATTGCTATATTTTAATTGCTGTATAGAACTTAAAATAGTAAAAGTTTTAAAGGGGTTTCTGAAAGTTATAAGGCTGTGCTCTTTTGCTCTCTTGTTTGTTAGAGATGTAAAAGGAGCCAATATGAATGAACAGAATCACATATTACAGATGATTACAGCAAAGCAACCAGGAAATGTAGAAAGTGTTGCCAGGACAAAAAACTAATTACATAATAGTATATTGTGGATGTGAATCCTTCCTGCTGTACAAAGCTGCCATGGCTCAAGTAGTCATGACCATTGGGACTTAATATTTAAAAATTGGTACTTAATACTTTAAAAGAAATATTTTAAATTCATGAAAGTACGGAATTGGCACCAAAACCTAAAGGCAGTCTTCCTTATTGAAAAAAGCAGCATAAAGCAATGAAAATGGCTATTTAATAAAGGAAAGCTGAGTGGAGATCAATGCAGCAAGTATTTAAAGATGTTGATTAGTATTTGACAAAACAGGGAATAGATCCTGAACAGCTTCCAAAAGGAAAAAAAGAGTATGTTCGTATTGAAATTGAGATTTGCCATATAGATTGCAGAGTCACTTTTCTTCAAGTCCTGTTGGTGCTTGAGTTTAAAATATTCAGAGAAGAAGCTGAAGCAACCAGTAGCAGCTAAAGCTGAAGAAAGACCCTATATTAACTCAGAAAATGCAATTCTACTTGTTTTTGATCATAGTTACTTGGTAAACTTGAAAATTTTATTTTGCTCATTCAGTAAATTTATCTTGCTGAGACCCAAGACATTCAGCGGGGACAGACTGTTTGTGGATAAAATATGCACATGGGGACTCCTGCAAGCATAACATGGACGCAGTCTTGAGTGGAGCCTTAAAGAATCAGTGCAGTCACATGACACCTCCCAGCCCTTCCTCAGTGTCCAACACAGCAGTGCAGGAAAATATAAATTGCATGTTGGCATGTGATTGTAATGCACTGATAGCACACATTTATTTCTTCCATTGATATCCCATTTTCTCTTGCAAGGAACCCACTGTGGATCATACGACCACATCCTGTCCATTTTAGTCTCACAACAACCCAAGAGAGGTTAGACAAAGCGTCGTTGGCTGGCCAATGTCACCCATGGCCAAGTAGGGACTAGAACCCAGATCTCCTGAGACTTGGGCCAGCACTCTAGCCCTGTGTTATACTGGCTGTATATTGTTAGATTATACCTATGCATCATCCTAGTATGTGAAAACATGCTTTGTTGTTGAATGTCATTTCATGATATTAAGAACTCCCTAGGGAGTGGCATAAAATCCTCAGAACTGGGAATTTGACATCACCCATGCATGCACACACACGCACATGCATATACACAGTGCAAGCTTCACAAACTCTGCTGAGAGTGAGAGATATTTCTAACTAAGAAGAGAGGGAAAATCCCAGATGTACTCACATAGTACAGCGGTCCTTATTGAGAATGTTGTACTGGATAGTTTCTGATATCATAATGTCAGGAAATGCAGCCCCGTGTTCTGCACAAGTCTTTTCCAACCTGATATGCCTTCCAGCAGGCCGGAATAGGCCTGGGTGGCCACTAATCCAAGGTGAACTGATAATTGGTGAATACTCTATGAAATGCAGCAGTGACATTTCTAGGGAGTCTTTCTTAGCCATGAAAAGATGAAATTGGTAGCTTCCTTGTAGTTCAAGGTTCTACAGAAGGCAGGATAACTCATTTTAATGTTCATAAGTGCATGGCAGGAACAGGAATACCAACATTTACCATGAATAATGTGTTTATGCCCAAAGGGATTTTTCATCAATTAAGCCAGTTTAAGAATGTAGGAAGAGTGCAACTGGGTCAGATCCAAAACCTTCAGTTCCCACAATGGCCAACCAGCTGCCTTGGAAAGGCCCATATATAAGCCATAAGTGCAAGATCACCCTCCTGCTCGCATTTCCCAGCAACTGGTATTCAGAGAATAACTCTGAGACTTCTGTCTTCTAGTATAATGAGAGCAGGGAAAAAATGTCACTATCCTTTTTTCCCATAACATAGATTTGTATCAGGACCATATGATATTGGCAGTTTTATTTATGATTTCTTTCCTGTTTATTTCTAAAATGGAATCTGCCTATTTCACTAGAATCTGTACAGTGGGTTGACATTTTTATCAAGCTGTCTATAAAAGCCCAAGATACCTTTCTTGGTTGGCCACTGCTAGTTCAAAATCCATCAGCATATACATGAATGTGTGATATGCTGTCCCTGGATAAATCAGTTTACATTTGCACACTGAACTAAATTTTCCATTTTAATGGTCATCCCACCACTGTTTACATCCCTCCGTTACAAATGTTGACCTGCACTCTGCTTTCTGTTCCGTAAGAAGCTGCCTGTTCAAAAGAGGACCTGTCTTATTCCCTGACTGCCGCAGTCTGCATTAGTTGCAGCTTCCAAAGCCGGCACAAGAGCAGTGTGGCACACAGTGTGTTACCAATAAATGTGAGGTTACTGGTACACAGCTATTTCCTTCTCTAGAAACAGGTAGAGTTGGAAGATCAAGCAAAATTGGTAATAGATGCCAATTAGTCACCTGGCTCTGAACTGACAAAGGTGGATTCAGGGGAACACACTAAACTGAGCTAACAGGCGGATAATGCCCTGGACCTGGGCATTGTCCACATATAGGACAACCAATATTTATCACTATTAGACCTCATCCAAGCAATTGTTATAGGCACCAGTTCAGAATGCCTGTTTATATTCACTATGTGCATATTTGTATTCCCTTTTTTTCCCTTTGGACAAGACTTCCAGTTTCCGAACAATGTCTTCTTTTATTACTAGTTCCTTGACACTGCATGTTAATCAACCAACTGCCTATGTGACAGTGAATTGGTTAACCCTACAAACCTGCTTTCTACCTGCATAATTGTTTCTGTAATGCTATTATTAGATTTGCTCACCAAGAAAAGGTGGGAAAGGGTTGACTGCCTTGGCCTCCTGGCCCTGCTGCTAATCTCATATGGGTGTTTAATTTGTGTGTGCGCACTTCATTTCTTCTTACCCTCAGATCTACCTTTGGGTCTTTTTGCCTTAGCTACGGGGTCTCCTCTCCACACTCAGTAGTAGTTGTCACTTTTTACACCTGCCAATGTAATACTACTAATATGACTTAAATTTTTGAACAGCATACCTATTCTTTTAGAAATGGACATTTTCCCTGGAACTGCACAATTTGTATCTTTTAAAAGAGCTGCTATACAGAGCTTGGGCACAGCTTTGTATAGTAAAAATTCCTTGGAAGAAACAGTGCCCAGTACATTCTGTTTGATAAATAGATTCTGGATAAGGGCTTCCTGTATATTCTCTATCTACAGGTTACAGCTACTTCATGTAATGATACTTGGTCTGACATTCCAAAAATTGGCATTGCTCAGACCAGGCTATAACTGTGTTTTAGCAGGAAACCACACAGAAGCATAATACAGCAATTAACCCATGCACCCATTGTATTCATCCCTAGAAATTCATGCTGACCTATATTTTGCCAAACCAATGGAAGCATAAACCCTTTCTAGTCCTAAAACCTCCCACGCAAAACAAAATGCCTCTGTTTGTTTGTTTGTTTCTCTCTCTCTCTTTCTTTTACTGTGTCTCTGTTAGGCTAAAACTTAAGAGAAGATTTTTTAAAAAATTCAGTACACCTGGCTACAAAGGCTGAAATCTGAAGTTTATTAAGACAGGCACCATTTTCTCTGCATCCATGGGGAAAAATGAGAAGAAATGTTTTTAAAATCCACACCAGAGCTTTTCAAAGCAAAAAATGCTCTGTTATTTGGATGTTACTGGCTTTTCTTTTCTATCCAAAAATGTAACCCATCTGCTCATACAGGTACAACATCATGTATTGACACAGGCAGTCTTGGAAATGATGCTGAGCTGTAAATGTTTGTATGAAGTTCTTGAAGACCATTATGGATATGTATGGGATTTGTTAATAGGGTCAAAAGGTTTTGAAAATGTCTAATTCCATCTAGCTCCAAACTATATATGGACCAGATGTCATCCATTTTACTTGTTTAATTACATAGGAAAGAAGTTCACAATCATGATTCCACAGCTGTTACACTTAAAAGAAATACAAACACAATTTTATACCTGCTACTCAGAAGTAGGTCCCATTGAATGTAATGGGTCTTATTTCCAGCTAAGTGGATATTGTCTTCTTGAATAAAGTGGATTCTTTTTCAAGTGGATATGCATCCAGAACAAGACTAAAATGTTCACTGTTATTTTCAGATATTCCTAATAGTATTTAAATTTAGGGATATCTGATGCAGTTAGGGATATCTGATGTTAAAATGAGCAGTTTAAGCCTGTTGCTAAAAATTGGCTTGAAATTTATTTTTTAGTCTCAGTACATTTTTAGGAATGAGAGACAGATCTTTATTGGAATTGCTAAAGCCGGAAGACCTGCATAATACACAATAAGTAATTGCATATTAATACCACCTAAAACACATTTTAAAAGCAGCTATTTAGTGTTCTGAGAGATTAACTTTTATGCTTTTAATATTACTGCTGCTGTATACAGAATAAGTTGTATTTGAAATTAATCATATTTAGAGTAAAGCCATTGGTATCAAGGGGAATTGTTATATCTAATTTATATTAATGGCTCTACTCTACATGTGAGCAAGTGTGGATCTGACACAATGTAATCTGGTCTAACAGATACTTCATTCTGCATTGTCCATCATCCCTGATCATTGCCCATGCTGGATGAGGCTAATGGAGGGTTGTAATTTAAAACATCTGGAAGATATAACAAGATAAAGAATGTAAGAAAAGCCATGGTGGATCAGAACAAAGGTCCATCTAGTCTAGGAGTCTATACACACAGTAGCAAACCAGCTGTCCACAGGGTCCCTCCAGCAGGATGGATGCAAGAGCTCCACTTGCCCACGCTCCTTAGCAACTGGTGTTTGCAGGCATGCCACCTCTAGTAAATCAGGTAGCCCAAAGCCAGCAAGACTATTAGCCACTGATAGCCTCCTCCCTCATGAATCTGTCCAAACCCCCTTTAAAGCATACATATTGGTGGCCATCACCACTTCCTGTGACAGTGACTTCCATAGTTTAACTATATGTTGTGTGAGGAAGTACTTCCTTTTATATGCCCTAAGCCTCCCACCAGTTTCATTGTATGTTATGGGAGAGGGAGAAAAAGTCTTCCTTTCCATTTTCTCCATGTCATGCATTATTTTAAACCACTATCATGTCTCCTCTTATTTGGCTAAGCTGAACAAACTCTCTTGTTGTAACTCAGCCTCACAGAGGTGTTGCACCAGGCCCTTGACAAGTTTTGTTGCTCTACTCTGCCCTTTTTTTCCAAGTCAATTATATCCTTTTTCAGGTTAGGTGATTGGCATTTATTTATCTTAAACTTTTATACGCCATCCCTTATGCATGGCATCTCGGGATGGCTCACATTCATTATAAGGGAAGTTAGATTTTAGCAGTTCTCTTTTCTATTCCATTCCTTAATTATGCCTAGAATGGAGTTTGCATTTTCCATTGGGTTGAAATTTTCATCAGATTGTCCACTACTAGCCCACAATCCCTTTCTTGCCCAGTCATTGGAAGCTGTTTCCATCGGTGTATACTAGAAGTTGGGGGGTTTTTTTGCTCCAACATGCATTACTTTATACTTGTTAATATTGAACTGCATTTGCCATTTTGATGTCCATTCCCCCAGCTTGGAGAGATCTCTTTGGACTGCCTCAAAATCCTTTCTGGTTTTAACCAAAATGTTCAGTGTCATCATCAAAACTGGCCATTTCACTACTTACTCCAAATTCCAGCTCATGCATAAATGGGTTGAAAAGCATTGGTCCTAATACAGAGCCCTGTGGTACTCTGGTTTCCTCTCTCCACTGGGAGAAATGGTCATTTATTCTCACCCTCTGTCTTCTGTTCTTTAACCAGTTGCTGATCCATCATACCCCTTCACCCCCTTATTCTGTGACTGCTTAGTTAGTTCCAGAGTCTTTGACTGGGGAAAGTTGTACTACTTCTATTGAAAGTTGCATGTAGATTTTTTAAATTACTGTTTCATCTGTGAGCACTGGCACAGAATTACAAATATGTTCATTTTTTCCATAAATGAGAAATATTCCATCACTAGCATGGACCTGGTTTTACAACTCACCAAATTTGTAAACATCTTCATAAACAGGATGGAAGAAACTGAAGATCTGAATGAAGCAACGAACACATTCATCTATCCAGAATGCAGTTGAGATGTTCTGGCTTGCAACTTCCATCAACCCTAGCCAGAAAAACCAATAGCAAGGGAACATGGGGATTGTGGACAGAATATCTAGAGTGTCCCAAATTGCCCACACCTGATAACAGTATGGAATAAACTTGTGATTTATACATTTTAATGTGAAGAAAGTGAAATTGACAGATTAATTCATTCATATTTTGTATTGACAGGGTTGGGCATTTTTAGTGATTTAAACAGGAATTTGTATTTGTTGCCCTTGCTTTAAAATAAGTGATTTGATATTTATTTTAATTTATTTTTTAATTTAGATGAACTATCAAATTCATCAGAAACCAGATTGTCTTTAGAAGATCTCTTCAGAAAAGAGTTTATAATTCACAATCCAGAAGCCAGATGGATTAATGGTATGTTATACATATTGTTATACATATTGAATAAAAGATATGGTAATAAGGATATTAGAGATAAACACAGATGCTATGATAACCAAACTATTAACTGAATGGTAATTTCATAATGTGAAATGCTCATTGTTGTTCCAGACTGTTCTATACAAACATTCAGACATAATCCAAATCTATTAGATTGTAGTCAGATTTATACTTAGAGCAGACACATTGAAATTGATGAGATATAAGATAATCACAACTAAATTAAATTTAATTGAGTTCTGTGTAAGTATGACTATATCTTGGTCCAACCCATTCTGTATTGAAACTTCATGTGAAAATGTTGTAAGATAGTAAATTAATGGTATCCGTGAAGCAGTGATGAAAACGTTAAGAATCTATATTGTGTTGTGATACTGATTACTGATATTGAGTAGAATTAGCACTGAGTTCTGTTGCTCAGGAAACTAAACAGATTGCAGTCCAGTTTTTGTGCGAGAAGCATATGTTTGGCTGCAATTAAACCTTATAGAGCAGGTCAAGAACAGGAAAAAATGATAAATTATCTTTTAACAGTGAAATTAAATCAATTAGTTAGGACACAGATAAATTTAGGAACAAAGTTGATAGAGGAAAGGGGGATCAGGAAGAGAGCAGGCAACTGACTGAAAAAAGGAAGCATAAGAAAGAGGAAACTGGAAGCTAGGATTGGAAATAATCAGGGAGAGAGCCTTAAAGATACTTTAGAAAGTGCTTAAAATGGGGAACAACTGCATGCTATGGGGAAGAGATGGATGAGTGCTAGGAAAGGTGGTCAAGTAAACACAGTGGCTAAAGGGGGGATGGTGAACCTCCAGATCATAGAGTTGTTGTTTTTTTAGTCCCTGGAAGCCCCTCCCCCTTCCCCAAGTGCCAAGGAGAAGAATTCCCAGTGATACTGCTAGTCACTGAGTAGAGAGGATGCAGCACACTAAAGGAAATCCACACTGCTATAACTCATCAGTGTTTGTTGGTGGCAGCAGGAATCACGAGAGAGAGACAAAAGCTAGAATCCCTCTGAGCAGACACAAAGTCTGTGATTTGGATGACACTTGCAGGAGCCCCGGTTCACCATGCAGGGAATGGAATTGCATGTCTCTCTCTGCAGGTGTAAATATAACTAGGGTGCAGTGGGACCAGAAGCATCTTGAAGGAAGTGGAGCTTTGTCTTCCTCTCCCTGACATCCCCTAGCCCGCTGAATTAGTTCAGGTAAATAAACTTTGCCAAGGACAATGGAAAGGGCTTCTCTACATGAGAAATTTAACCTGCTGCTGTACTGAGGCTTCTGTTTTCATTGTGGTAGGAAAACTGTCCTTTGCACAGGGCTTTTCACTGCCTTTCTGGTCATATTCTTTTAATGAACCTCAAGGCTGCATTGTGGTACAGCTATGATACTGTGCATTTGCAACTTTTCAGGAGGTTTTCCTGACATTTCAAAGGTAATACTTGGTTTTCTTCCTTCTAAAACTCTCCGCAAAAATGGCTGGAATACTCAGCAGGGCCCCGGAGGGTGGTGGCTTTTGATAAGGCCCCACAAAAGTAACCAGTGGCATGAAGAACAGGAACTCAAAGAAATAACTAGTATAGAAAGCAGTACAGGGGCAGAACTGCAGTTGCAATCTATTAATAAATTTTGCACTGCCTTACAAGAATATCAGCTTGATGTTAGCAAAAACACTAGTATAGAAACAAAGCAAATCATTTAAAAAGTTTCCCCCCAAATTGCATCCAATTCTCCCCTCCAAGACCTGTCCCTGAAATCTCCACAGCTTTTATTTCACAAACTGCAAGTCCTAAGCAACTTAGTCTGGGATACAATGTTATTTCCCTGTGCCCTTCCCTTTTATTTCAATCTGAGCTTCATTTCAGATTATCTACAGCAACAGCACACATTTAGTATTTTTAATGAAAATTACAACTCCCTTTTCTGCTCTTTTCTTCAAAGTATCTTCTTGCTTCATTGAAGCCAGTAACTGGATGTAGCAAAAAGATGAGAGCCAGGGGGAAACGGAGTAGCCAGTTTCTGAGTACAAATGGCATTCAGGAATTTCAGATGCTGCTGCTTTATTCTTTCTATAACTAGCTAAGGCAGTTTTCTCTTTGTCTGATAAACAGGTTGGCATGTTTTATGTATTATATTTTATGTTGTGAGGCGCCCCGAGGCTTCGGCGAATGGGGCGGCATAGAAATGTTTTAATAAATAAATAAATAAATAAATAAATAAATAAATGTTGGATAGGTCTGTCTTTTGGGGGAAGGTGGGACTTATCAGAAATTCTCCTGCAGTTGACAATAAGATTGATTGATTAGGTTTTCATATGTGGTTCTTCCACATTGATCATTTATTCATAATTTCACATATTTTATTGTTATCCTTGAGTCAATATCTATAAACAAGTTAACATTGTTAACTCTGAAGAAACATGAGTTCATCAGAACATACATATTGATTTGATATTTCTTAATAAACAGTACCTTTTATGATATTCTTGAAACTGTGAACGTGTTTGGATGGACATGCATATTGTTCATGGCATGGAACCCTTGAAATGAAGGATAAATGAGCGGATTTGTTTATTGAAATCCTAAGCATTTATCATGATCAATTTTGTTGCTGGGCTTTTAAAAATTAAATGTCTTTAAAATGTACCTTGATTGTTATAAACCAGTACTAGATTATACAGCAATTTTTGTTTGTATGTAGTAAGAAAAATAGTGTACATGATTTATCATATTAATTTATAAATATGGTATGCAGGGTCTGCAAGTGTTACATTCCAGAAAATAGCCATTATTTTTCCAAAATATTTGTCTTAAAAACTGTGGAATTCAGAAATCTGTTTTTAAAATCTTATTGATTTCTGGAAAGCTCAACTGTAAATGAAACTGTATCATTCTCTCAAAAGCATTTAAAAAGAAATCATGCTACTTTCTTACTACTGGAAAAATTGTAAATCAATAACAACTCACCAGGAAGTAAGAATTCTGAATTTTGCTTACATCATTCGATGTAGGTGGGGCTCTTTTTAGTGTAAAAGATGTGTAGAAGCAATTTCACTGAGGCATGAAATATAATTATTTCATCTGATTACATCAGATCAAATCAGTTACATCATTTTGGATTAAAATCCAACCATAAATACTAGCTCTTTATGGCACACATAGAATGCATGGAACGTGGTGTGGAAAGCAGAGTACAGCTGCTCATTGGTAGTCCTAGCAGTGTAGCTGTACATGCAGGAGCTCTGTTCAGACAGTATAACAAACATGGGTTGGGAATGAGGTGTAGATCTCACCGTTCTTTCTCCTCATGCGTGTTGCTATACATATAGTAATGGACTCCAGGGATACATTCCCAAAGGAAGATTTGTACTTCATAGTCCTTCAGAAGCAGACTTTGCATCCTGGGGTGAAAGCATATCCTGCAGAAATAGGAAAAGGGCTATTAGGTTCCCGTACGAAGCCGAGAGTTACACTGCTATTTTACTCCACTGTTAACCTTGCTCTCTATGAGGCAGACTTTCCAGATCAGAAAAGCTGCAGGATATTCATCCACTGCTATACAAAACAGCACTTTTTTGAACAGTGATATCTTCTTAGGATTACTGGCAAGAGCAGATGAAACATAAAGCCTTGTTTACTTCTAAATCTGAGCAAACTCACCAAATGCTGATTACATCAGGTATTAATGTGGGGTTTTTTTTTTTTTTTTAGAGTAGTTTGAGTAAATTTGAATATTCTTAAAGAGTGACAATTCATGGTCAGGGAAATAATTTATTTAAGACTAGAAATTGGCTTTCTAGACCTAAATAAATGGGTTTCCTCTTAGTACAGTTCATTTTGAAAAGGTTGGGAGGCAGAGTGAAAATTAAAGGTCAATGGGTTATGCTGTGTCCAGGGTTTTCATGCAAACATACTTCAAAGGCATAAGAAAATAATTCAAAATATGCGATAAATCACTGAAACTTAGGCTTCTCTGTGAAATTCCTGTAATACTTTATATGCTTAATGTTAAGGCTTAAAGTTGTAGGAAGTAGTTAGTACTGTTAATAGAAAGAAAGTTTCAGTGAACAGATTTACAAAAAGGGGTGGTAAGAATCACTTTGGTTCATGAAACTTAACTTGCACATCATCTACTCCTATAAAGATTTAGCTGAATCAAAACTCATGCATATTAAAGTAGAACATTGGTATTGCAGTTACTCTGGATCCAGAAACACTAGTGTGTAAGGGAGTTGATGGAAGTTAAATTCACTGCCTCTGCTCTATCACAGCTCCTAAAGCCCCGCCACACACCGCAAGGCCGCTGCAAGGGTCGGAGGACCAGCCTGACAGCTATGGGGTACAGGGGAATGAGTGGCAAAATGTCACAGGGGCAACTTCTCTCGGTTTCATTATGTACTCCTGTAACTGGCTCAAACCTTCTAGATGGGAGTGCTTTGTAGAACTGTATCTGAATATCTTCTGATGCTGGGAATAATTGAAGGGCAAGGGAGAAGGGGACAGCAGAGGTTGAGGTGGCTGGATGGGGTCACTAAGGAGGTGCCTGTGTGGTTGGGTGAACTCCAGGGGATGGTGGAGGATAGGAGAACTTGGAGGAATGTTGGAACTTGGAAGTGTCGCAAAGAGTCAGACATGATTTTGCGACTGAACAACAACAATTCTAAATATCAGTTTCTCTGCATTAGCACTGTTGGAGTGATAATATGTGGTTCTGTTGCATGGTTAAAACTATCTGAGAGGAAAATTTTATGCTGTGTTTTAGCTTTTCAATTCATTAAAAAAATGTTTATTTATTTATATTTTAGCTATCCAGGGCTGTTATGTCCATATAAATCTGGTACTACTATCAGATGTATATATATTTGATATGCTATATTAGAAAGATTTAAGAACAGAACAGAATGTTTAGTTCACAGGCCTGATAATAGACAATTGAATTTTTCTTCAGTATGTTCAAGAAATACTAACTCAC